CCTATGTTTATATCCATGTTTCTTTTCCTTGTGGTAAGTTAAAGTAAATAAATTTGTGTATAGTTAAGTCCCCTGGCTGTCTTGGCCTGGTTCTGTAGGGATGGAGGGAAACTGAGCGGTCTGCAGTTCCCCCCACAGCACACCTGCCAGCTAACAATCCCCTTCAATTGGAAAAGGGGAGTATATACCCAAGTATACCTGGGCTACACATTCACCAATATGAATTAGGGGTGAAAGTTTATTCATTTCACCAGAACACAATTATGAGACTGACAGATGAGAAGAATTTAGAAAAAAATCTGTTTTCTCCATCTACTACTCAAAACTTCATGGACCCTGAGGAAAGAAGAAACACCCCTGGGTTGCTTCAGCTGTTCCTCTTTGGGGTGAGGGTCTATTTTTGCATGTGTTCGCATAGTGCATAGCAGCATTAATATCTGATCTATGAATGGAGTCTTCAACTGAGCCTACTAGTATCTCAATTTGTTTTCTCTGGACCCATCTTAATGGGTTTGTCCTTGAATAGTAAACTGTTTTACATCTCCTGAGAACTTCAGGTATCAGTTTGTTTGCTTCATTTGTCTTGAGATTTTTGGCTTTGTAACAGACTTCTGTGGGACAAAAACTGTTTTAGTGCTGAGCCACAAAAACAAAGTTGAAGAAAAATATATCTTATTTATATACAAGTGGTTCAGGTCTGTGCTTCCTGCTTTGTCTTCCATGGAAAAAATAGATTCTAATTCTAGGAGACCTAAGTGTGTGTATTGGTATGTGTGATAAGAGTGAGAAAAAAAGAGAGAAACCTATCACCCCTTGAATGTTTTATTGTTTAAGTATTGAATATGCATGCTAACATTTTGCTACTCACTTTCCATGTCTGAGCCCCATTTTCCTGTTCCCACTGATGTCAGACTAGTGCGGGTTCCTCCTTCTCTGGTTTTTAAGAGAATTGCAACTGCAGTGGTTGGATTTTAGATGAGAATTGTAACATATTCCTAGCCAAGTGACAAGTGCATCAGGCTGAGCCACTGTGTTTATAGAAGACAGTCAAGGAAAGTTCTTAAGTCTGCTTGTTCTAAAGTTCCTGTCCTGCTTGGGTAGAAAATGGATTTGGAGGAGGATATTTATATTAAAAAGAGAGGGGAGGTGGATTCCCTGGAAATTAATCATGCAAACTTACATTGATTCAAATAAACCTTCCTCCTTTCCTTTTGGACACTGCTCACATTGCTGTCATGGACAGTCATAAATACAAAGGACTGTGTGGTTTGTTAATGGTTTATTATACTAAACTTGTAAACCAGTTGTTTAGGGTAGCTACAGATCATATGTAGCTTTCCTATGAATTAAAAATCAGAGAAATACCATAACAAGTCAGTAGTTATTGAAAAATTGGGGTTTTAAGGTTGGGGAGTTAACTTTTGGACTGTGTGAATAATTGATTTTTCCACTTGGCAGCCAAACTTGCAGGGGCGGATTGATCAGATTGGCTTGAATATAAAGAAGTCAGTTTTTCTCACCAAAACAAAGCAAAAATCAAAACAACCAAAAATTTTAGTTCAAGTAAAATTAAACATTGTATTTGACCATAACCTTTCACTTTTGGAGAATGTGTAACTAATACCATGGGAAGAGAGTCGAAGATTGACAAATCTTCTGGAAGAGATCACAGCATCATATGTCCTGACACACAGTAGGCCAATTTTAGGGTACTCACCTGTAATGTGGGGAAGATGGGTTTATTTCCTTTCCCAGTCTGATGGGACTTGAGTCCATGTATCTGACCTCCAGAGTAGTGTCCTAACCACTGTGTTAGGGTATTCAGGAATGAATTGTTCTCAGTCTTTTTGTGGATGTTGTTTGCCTTTGCATCAAATATGTTGTTTCCAAGGTGTGTGCCCAAACCACTGAACTATGGAGTTCCACTTGCTCTCACTCTTTAACTCCATACATATTTAAGTTTTTTGATACAAATGAAATGATGATGGAAGATATTGAAAGTCCCTCCCCCCCTGTATATCCTGTAGCCTGGAAGTTAGACAGATGAAGGATCTGAACCCAAGTCTTCCACATCTTGAGTGAGTTTCCTAACAAGGTACAAGGAAGGGCAGCTTCTCCTTTAGCAGCTCTGTGAATCTAGGCTTTTTTTTCCCTGGCCTTTTAATACCAGTGCCCCAAAATTAAATGTTTCAGAAATGTCAAAACAGTTTGTTTCAACATTTCCTTAGAAACAAGCTGCTTTAAGCATTCCCCAAATATTTTGTCATTTTCCAAATGAACTGGTTCAACATTTCTGAAACTTTTTATCACTTGTGCTTTGTATGAAAGTATTTGGCAAATTCAACCTGAATTCACGATGAGTTTCAGATGCTTCTTGAAACGACATATTTAAGTGATGAAATATACCCTAACATTTTTCACTCAGCCCTAGGTAAGTTTGTGTGCTAAATGAAGAATGGTTGCAGAGTGAGCCAAAACAGCAGCAGGCACTTATCCTTGTGCTGTTTGTTAGGGTTGTGCAAAATTTCGCTGGGTGTTTCATTTCAAAGCTGTTTTGATGCATTTGGAGCTTGAAACAGCTAAATCTAAAAGAAACAAAAGACTTCAAAATAGCTTCGAAATGAAGCAAGGGCAATCGAAACATTTTGAAAGTTTCAAAGCTGGGCTTACTTGGCTTCAGTGCCGGTCCCAGCTGGCAGTGGTAGCCTGTTGTCATCCTGTGCACATATCCAGGGTCCTGCACCACCTGGGAGGAGTCTGGCACAGCCCCACAGCCCTCCCAGCAGTGTGGGACCCTGATCCTGTGTGCTGGATGAGAGGAGGCTGCCACTGCCAGCTGGGACCAGCGCTGGGCGCAGCCCACACCCAGCGCCAGGAAGATTGCAGCTGCTACTGGCCCCAGGAAGCAGTGGCAGCCTCCTGGGAGGGCTGCGGGGATGTGCCAGATTCCTCCCAGGGGTGCAGGCTCCCAGATCTGCGTGCTGGATGAGAAGAGGCTGCCACTGCCACCTGGGACTGGCGCTGGGCACGGGCAGCAGCCTCCTGTCATCCAGTGCACATGTCCAGGGCCCCACAGCCCTGGAAGGGCTGCAGGGCTGTGCCTGACTCTTCCCAGGTGTGCGGGCCCCCAGATCTGTGTACCAGATGACAGGAGGCTGCCTCTGCTCCCTGGGGCCAGAGGCAACAGCAATCTTCCCAGTGCTGGGCGCAGGCTGCACCCAGTGCCAGTCCCAAGCAGCCTCCTGTCATCCAGCATGCAGATCTGGGAGCCTGCACCCCCAGGAGGAGTCTGGCACAGCCCCACAGCCCTCCAGGGAGTGTGAGAACCCTAATCTGTGTGCCAAATGAGAAGAGGCTGCCGCTGCTGCGTAGGACTGGTGCTAGGTGTGGGCAGCAGCAGCAGCCTCATGTCATCTGGCACACAGATCTGGGGGCCCACATTCCCAGAAGGGCTGCAGGGCTGTGCCCAACTCCTCCTGGGGGTGCAGGCCCCCGGATCTGTTGCATTCATAGATTTCATACATTTCATAGACATTAGGGCTGGAAGGGACTTCGGAAGATCATCGAGTCCAGCCCCCTGCCCCAGGGGCAGGAAGTCAGCTGGAGTCAAAGGATCCCAGCAAGATAAGCAAATCCCAGCAAATGTCTCTTAAAGGAGTCCAGAGTAGGTGCTTGCAACACCTCTGACAGCAGTCTGTTCCAGGCCTTGGGGGCTTGGACAATTAAGCAGTTCTTCCTTATGTCCAGCCTGAAATGGTCTTGGAGGAGTTTGTGACCATTTGACCTTGTCATCCCCTGGGGCACTCTATTGAACAGGAGTTCCCCCAGATCATGAGGTATACTCCTTATATACTTATAGGCAGCCACCAGGTCCTCCCTGGGCCTGCACTTTTCCAGGCTGAAGAGTCCCATAGCGCTCAGCCTCTCATCATAAGGCCTGTCTTCCTGCCCTCTGATCATGAGCGTGGCTCTCGTCTGGACTCTTTCAAGCTTCTCCACATCCTTTTTAAATTGTGCAGCCCAGAATTGGATGCATTACTCCAGCTGCAGATGACAGGAGTCTACCACTGCTGCCTGGGGCCAGCAGCAGCAGCAGTCTTCCTGGTGCTGCACCCAATTCCGGTCCCAGGCTGCAGCCTCTTCTCATCCGACATGCAGATCTGGGGGCCTGCACCCCCAGGAGGGCTGCGGGGCTATGCCAGACTCCTCCCGTGGGTGTGGGCCCCCGGATCTGTGTGCCAGATGACAGGAGGCTGCTGTTGCTGCTGCCCAGTGTAGGTCCCAGGCGGCAGTGGCAGCCTCTTCTCATCTGGAATGCAAATCCAGGGGCCCACACCCCCAGGAGGGTTGTGGGGCTGTGCCAGACTCCTCCCAGGGGTGCGGGCCCCCGGATCTGTGCGCCAGATGACAGGACACTGACGCTGCCGGCAGCTGTCACAAGTTTTGCTTTGAACAATTTGAGGTGCAGTTTCACAGAACCCTCTGCACCTTTCTCCTTGAAATTTGGCAGGCTTCATGCCCTCAGAACAGGCTACCTTCTTTGCAACTTTCATCCAAATCAGGCAAGAAATGACAAAGTTTTAGGCATTTTCATGGTTTTCCATTATTGCCTATGGGCAAAATGACTAAATGCATCGAAACAGCTGAACAGTTTCAATGAAATGGAATGGAACAATGCTTTGAAATGAAATGAAATGATGAAACAAAACACTGTCCCTTCAAAACGGCAAAAGAGAAATCAAAACGAAACACTGGTGTTTTGCACAGCCCTACTGTTTGTGTCTTTGGCCACAACCAGTGTAATGCAAAAACTGATGTTTCCCACAACTTCAGCTTCTTTTGTTCTCCCCACAGTGTTCACAGACCTGTGGAGGAGGTGCTCAGAAGCAAGATATGCTCTGCAAGCAGCGTCTGGCAGATGGAAGTATTTTGGAGCTTCCAGAAACCTTCTGCTCCTCTCCAAGACCAGTTTCCCATCAAGCTTGCAAAAATGAGGACTGTCCTAATGAGTGGCTTCTCTCTAACTGGACTCAGGTATGACGTATGCATATGAATGAATATAGGTCTTATTGTCCAATTCCTCTTTTTGAGTTATTGAAGTGGAACCTCATCATGAGAGTTCGGATAAACTATACCTTATATATTTATGTGGGAACTATACCTTCAAACTACAGAAAGAAGAGTTCATGTTGTCCAGCTTCCTCCCACTGTTTGGTTCCATTGGTTCCATGGATAATGATCTGTGTGACCATTGTCTCAGTTCCCCCTATTTGGAAACCAACTCTACTGATATGGTTAACCCATTCAGTTGAACCGTAAAGAGTTTTCTTGGTCCCCTGACATGTTACACTTAAGAGGTGATTAATTGGCTAACCATGTCATAAGTAGTGACCTGGCCACATGTTCATTCATTTATATCAGGACTCGGTGACAAAATTATTACACAAAATATGTGTTTGGTTCCTATAATTCCTTTAATTGAATGTGTAGCTGGTGTCTGAGCCTCCAGAGCACAGTCTTGTGTGCTTCAGAGGCTGGGAGCACTTGTGAACTGATCAGGGCTCTCACAATGTCTTCCCCAGGCTGATAGCCTGTAGCAGAGCACTAAGGTGCCTGCTACTTGTAGAGCCGGAATAACCACTCAGGTGCCAGTTGCTAGGACAACCGGAGGGAGCCAGTGACCCACACCTGCTAGTGGTCAGCTGACCAGAAGGGGCAGGACCTGGCTCCCATTTAAACCCCGGGACTGAGTCCAGGGAGGCAGTTCCCTGTTGGCAGCCAAAGGGGGAAGGAGCTCTGCTGGAGCGAGTAAAGGGAAGATGCCTGAACTATATGGGCAGCTCCGTAGACTTGTAAGGGATGGAGCAACCCTGGGGATGTGAATGAGATTTTAGCTGGACCGTTTGAAGTTATGTTATAGCCCAGGGGCTTGTGTTTTGTTTGCTGTTAATCCCAGAGGTTTGGGTGAGGCTGTTAGGGGTTGGAGGAGGCCTCACAGGGGACCCCTGGCATTGTGGGAACCCCGGCCCCAGAGAGGGGGCAGCGAGAAGCCCCGAAAGGGGGCAGGGAGAAGCCCCAGAGAGGGGATGCAAACCCCCAGCTCCAGCAAAGTACATTCTTAAAAGCCAGGGAGTTCTGGTGTGTCTGTGCTGCAAAGTTATTCTGGTCTTGGTTTTTTTGTGGCCTGGGAGGCAGCAGGCTCAGGGTCATCCCCTGGTTTTGGGCTTGCGGCCCTCCAGCTGTGGGGTTGGCGCCTGGGCCCTCTGGACCAGGCTCCAGAATGGAGCAGGAAAAGGGGCCCTGGGTCTCAAGACAATGGAAAAGGCTAGAGCCTTGAAGTCAAACCCTGTTTAGTGGGTTTAGATGGGGAGGCCTATCTAGAGAAAATCAGGGGTCAGTCCCACATAAGGGAAAGGCCCCAACATATCCAATACAATAGGCAGGCTCCTGCTCACAAGAACATGATCCTAATTTCCATCAAGATGTGGCAGGAGAGTATAGGGCGGGACATAAGAACCCCAAAGAAGGATCCAAGGGCACCCATTCAAGGCACAGAGTACTAGGAAGATGGCGCTGGAAAGGGCAACCTGTTACAGATTCCCAGTCAACTGATGAAGATCCCAGCCATGGGAGCAAAGATTGATGGTAAAGGAGGAGCCTGGGATCAGGATCCCAGACTCCCACTTCACCTGCACTACCTGGTGTGTTGGGATCTGATGCTGAATCCCAAAATTGTGTCTCAGTTGTTGGGATCACATATGGGATCCTATTGCATCTTCTTTTTATTGTCTGTCAGTGATCTGAGTAGGTAAACAGTCCATTCCCCTTCCCCCACCCCTCTAACCAATTTTTTTTGCCTGCATTAATGTAGGGCAGTTTCAAAGTTCTTCCACAGGCTAAACGCTTCTTTCCATACCATGTCCAGGTTCCCAGTGTGGAGGCAGGTTAACATCAATAATTATTTTCTGTACGGCTCACCTAGTCTTTTCCTTAATTCCTTAATTTCCTTAATGGAATCCTTCATCAGTCTCTGGAAGCATCATCATAGGCATCTAAGTTAGATTAGGCACCAGGCCGCAAGCCTATCTCACTTCTCCCACCTGAAACTACTGCTTTCTCCTGCTTTCCTCAAGCCTTAAATCCTGAATCCTTAGTGTCAAGTTCACCAGCAAACTTCTACTGTACCAAAGTGACTTGCAGTTCCCTAAAGTTTCTTCTTATCCTGGGCCTTCCCAAGCCCCTTACCTAACCTTGGCTGCTTTTGCAGCTTCTTTAAAGCAGAGCCCTACATCACCTAACTTGACAAATCCATCATATCTCCTATCTATGAAAAGAAACCTGCTGCTTTTTATCTTGTTCTCCTTCTTCCCAGCAAACCTTGCTCTCCATCTTTGAACTACAAAAACTGCAACCCTTAAAATGCCTGGCTTTAAAGAGGATACGGTCATTTGACAGGAGGGCTGGGATGTGCCTGCCCTTTGAGGCACAGTAGATCCTGCTACATTGTTTGTTCACTTGTCAAATTCTGCTCTTGTACTCATAGAAGCTCGCTGACATTAAAGGACTGTGTGTATTTAAAACAGGAGTAAAAGTTGGCCATTTGTCATGAAAAGAATTACTTTTCACCTACACTCCTGCAACTGAAAACAGAATTTAGTCTTTTACTGCCAGGGTTATGTGTTAACTCATCCTGTTATATGAATTCCCCCTGCTATTCCTTCACACACTGAGACAGTTAATACCTTAATAATGAAGGAGGCACCAGTCATGCTGGGAAAGGGAGCTGTTTTACTTTGACCCCAAGACATTCTAGTCAAATAAATGCATGTTCTAATGAAATCTGCTGCCAGGACACACACCCATTCTGACAGTTAAAAGGGTAATTCTATTCCCATGCCTCAATCTGTCCTCCTTCACAAGAAGTGCAGCTCCAACATTTTTACTTATACATGGTTTACATTAAAATCCATATAACTCATGTCTTCAAGCTAGCATTCTTAAATATTGAATCTTATTTTTCTGCCTTTTGTTTGGAGCTGTCTTTCGGGGAAGGGAATGTACAGAGGTGGTATATCATTTTCAACTCTTTTCCTCCTCCTCAGTCTGTCTCCTAACCTCACTCCAGTGGATACATATATGCAACACTGGCATATATGTATATAAATGAAATTAATTAAGGACTCTGGCTCCCAGGAAATTGTGTACGTTGAGCAGCATGATCCAGGATTGGGGCTGTCCTGCTTTTTGAGCATGTGACCATACCTCAATGGATTCTGCATGGGTATAAGGGAGTACTTTTCCCTCCACCATGTGTGGCTGCACAGTAGCTACAAGCAGTGGCAATCCCCATGCTGCCCACATTCTACTACAACAAATGGTGCGCAGAGATAATGATACTAAAGAGAGAACAGGAAAAGTCAGTTGTACAAAATCACTTGGGCATTATACTGTCTCCTTTCTCTACATGATCATGTACTGTTTTTTCCACAGGACCCTTACAGAGATTTTGGGAGGATGCAGTATCACTTACTGTCAATGTGTCTGTGGATGGGGGTTTGCTCCTTCACATTCTGTTTCCTTTTTTGCTTCTAGTGTTCGGTGAGTTGTGGAAAGGGCACCCAGACTCGAAATGCCATTTGCAGGAAGATGCTGAAAACTGGGGATTCTGTCATCATCAATTCCTCTCTGTGCCCACCTTTGCCTTTTTCTTCTTTGGTCAGGCCCTGTGCACTATCCGTATGTGCAAGTGAGTACACAAGAAACGTGGGTATCTTTGGCTAGGTACAGACATTCAAAAAGCCCAAGGGAGCCGGGGAAGTGGGGGGTAGAGGGACCACACAAATCTTAGACCAGGTTCTGACATTTTTAAACTAGTCTGTGTGTGCCAAACCTCTGTTCTGTTATGGATATAAACTGGTTTTGTGTGCTGAACTTCTGTTCTGTTACTGGTATAGATCAGTTTCCAATTGCTTCTACCAGTAAAAGTCTGTACCTGGCCTATGTGGGGAGAAGGCAGGAGCTGCACCTCTGAGGATTTCATGTAGCAAGAAGCTCTTCCTTCCCAATGATGTTACGAGCCATTATGAAGGTGCCTAGCACCTTGAATGACTGAGCCCTGTATTTCCTTTTGGGTTCGGGGGGTGGAAATTGACTTATTTGTAAATACTGCTGTGTGACATGCTACAGAGCTCTGCCCATGAAGAACAAGACAAAGTGTATATGGGAGGGCAGGGAGTGAGAGTCCAAATAATTATTATTTGAGCTGGGTCTGAACCAATGCCCTTGAATTAGAACCATTCTTATTTTGGTGATGGGTGACTCAAAACTGAGACCCAAATCCACATCTATATTTCACAATTTTACGGTGCTGCAGGCTCTACCTTACAGCACAGTCTCCTCAAGACAGCAACAATGTCCTCTCCTCTAGGGGACTGTAATCACTGGGTGCCTGGGGTTGCTGTTACACCCCCTTTTTTGATGTCTTGTCATGCTTCTGCTCCAGCCTCCAAGGGTCTTACCCCATTTCTCCTCACCTGCCATGCCTTGTTGTTAAAGTAATAAGGAGAAATTGCCCCCTGAGGCTAGTGAGCCTAGGTGTTCTCATTCTCTCTCTGTCTTAGTATTCACTCTCTCCAGCCCTACATGCCTTAAGGGCTAAATTTATGACCTCCAGCCACCCCACAGGTCATGCCCTGTGGGTGTTACTGACTCACATTCAGGTTGGGCACTCTGCCCTCAAGCCAGTGCCTGTTCACTCTATGCCTTCACACACTTGTTGGGGTCACAGCCATCCCAGTCTCTGCCCCTTTCCTCTAGCTGAACCCTTGCTGCATAAGCTCACCGCACCAGGCCAGGTTCCTGGGTCCCAGCCCTGTCCATCCAAGCTCTTGGGGTTTCTACATGTGGCCTCTCATTCAGAGTTCCTGGCCCCAGAGTTTGCCCTTCACAGGCTACAAGCCCCTGACCTTGCTTTACCTTTCACAGGTGTCTTTATCAACTCATTCTCTTGGGGTCTCCACCCCTTGCCTCTCACTCAGGGTTCCTGGCCCCAGAGTTCACCCTCCATGAGCTACAGGTTCTAGACATTTATTTCTGTCCCTTTTGGGCTTCAAGTCCCAGGCCCTGGTTCTCAATGCTGGACTCCTTGGCTCCTGTCTTCACCCTGCAAGGGCTCTGGGGCCTGGCCAGTGTCCTGAGCCTGACACCTAGCAGGACTCAAGGCAGTCAGGTGTCCTTTGGTCACTGATAGGACCTCTGAAAACCACTCCTTACAGTTCTACCCAAACCACCAATTTAGCTGGCTCCTTTCTGTCTAGGCACATTGGGCCAGGCCAGGCCCCTGGGTTTCAGCCCTTGTCTCACCCTCTTGGGCTCTGACTTCCACCCCCTTGGACTTTGGGTCCCTGCCCCTAGATTATGCCCCCCTCAGGCTGTGGGCTTCAGTCGTCTCAGCCTCAGGTCAGCTATTGCCTTTCTCGGGCTTATGCTCCAGCAGCCTCAGGCCTGCTATTGCCTGCTCAGGTCCCATGCTCCAACTCTGGCACGGTTCCCAACCTCACATGCCTCTCAGGCACTAAACTGCAGTGCACCCCTCTGCCAGGAGCTTCTCTGTAACTCTCTGCCCTAGAGCTCTTCTTTTAGCATCTCACAGAACCAGACTGACTGCTCTGGCTCAGGCCTTGGGCTTATATGGCTGGAAGCCATGGCCCATTTTATGACTCAATGAGTTCTGTATATGGTTTTCCTTGTCAATAATGGGTTAGCCTGCCTTCCTGCAGCCATGGCCAGCTATGTCTGCTGGATCTTTTTAAAGGAGCAAGAGCCTCCTCGTCCCCTGCCACAGTTCCATTTTCTCCCTTTCCCTTACTCCCCAGGTAACAGAGTCTGGGTCCCTTATTATAAGAACCCATTAAGGAGTAAGGGAAACATTTGAAGCGAATAACACTGAGCAGGGAGGCTGTGTGCTTAGGGTGGGAGAAGATCAGAGTCATTCAGCATGTGCCCTCAGCAGAGTCAGAGGGCTTTCTCATGGCAGAAATTAAAGCTGCTTCCTCATTCATGGAAACCCTTAGGGATGACAGTAGGCAGTTTGCCTGCATGCCATTTCAGCATGACAGTCTGGCAAAGGGAAGGGTAAAACTGAATCTGGCACTAACTCTGCAATGCGCTGAACCAGAACTGCAGATCCTGATCCTTCTTTGGGTGGGGTGGAGAGGAGAAGCAGAGGTTTTGAATGCTCAGAACAAAATACTATGATTCAAGACAGTCATTACCAATAATATACCTTCCCAGCTTTCCTCTGTGCTTCCCAGGGAGGAAAGT